TGCCACTTGCGTGCCTTACCAAGTGAGCTAGGCCGCTGGATGTTATGGACGTATTTTAGTTCATGAACAGGAAAAAAAAAAAAAAAAAAAAAAAAACGAGTACAATTACACAAAAAATGATTTTTTTTTTTTTTTTTTTTTTTTTACGGTCTCCGAGTGTTGGTGATAAGAGCACTAAAGAGATCCATTGGAGGATTTACTTCGGATGGCTCCAATTCCATTGGTGGGGAGCTAGTACACAGAAAGGATTTAATTTAATTAGCTTTACCCTTGAATTTGCATCATATCTCTTCTGTATCTTCTCCTCTTTGCTTCCTTCTGTCTGTAGATGATGAATCAGAAGTTGTGAGCAACCACTTTGCACAACAAATCCTTTCCTTAAAGTTTTTCTTTTCAGCCTTTCAGGGTTCTGTCTTACAGGAGGTGGTTCCTGTTTCTGGCAGTCAAACCATTAAAACCACCAGTGTGTTTCCCAGCCATTTCTTTTGAAGTAGAGGATTGCATGCTGCCGCAACTTCCGGGACTCAGCCGCCGAGCAAGACGATGGCCGCGTCAGCCAAAAGAGAGCTCGTTTTCTTTGGCATGGAGCTCGTTTCCAGCCCCGGAGAAAAGTGCCTTCAAGTTGAAAGTACTGGTGGTTTAAGCAAAGACTCCTGATTGTTCTTAACCTTGTCCAAAGGGGAGGAGGAGGAGAAGAAAAAGAAGAAGATCTCTGCATCAAGAACTTTCTCTCTCTCTCTCTCTCTCTCTCTCTCTCTCTCTCTCTCTCTCTCTCTCTCTCTCTCTCTCTCTCTCTCTCTCTGAACTGCATGTGATCACACGGATGTACGATGTCAAGGAAATGTTTTCCGAAATTGCGAACGATGAAGTTCGAAGTGCGGTTCATTGCATCATTAGTGAATTCAAGAACAAAGGAAAACACTGGATCAGGTATAAAACAAGAGGGAAGGGTGTCACTTTTTGCAAATCTGCCCAGGAGAAAGGATGGAAATCAATCAGACTGAACGATGTCGAAAGAATTGTGAAATTTATCTTGAACAATGTCATTTTCAAATCGGTCGGCACCATACTCAAGCAGAACAAACGTGTGCCTATGGATGGTCAAGCATCCCCTCCCTCGGCAAATCTGGTTTGTATGTTCTCTGAGAACATATTTCTGAAGAGCCTCAGAAGGGATGGAAAATTTATCCATGGTAAAAGATATGTCGATGATTTGCCCCTGCTAGGTTTTTTAAAAGAAGAGTGTCCCAGCAGAAAAACGCAGAATTTTGAAGGTACTTGACGGAATAAGAGATTGTTACCACAAGGATCTGAAACTAGAAAGAACTGACACAAATCTAAATATTCTGGAATTTCTTGAAACAAAGATTCTGGTTCTAAACGAACCCACCGAGATCGCTATGATGCACAAATTCAAAAATGCCGAAAGTATCTGGGAGGATCCTAAGCAACCGAGATATCTGATCACTCGGAACGTTGGATCCTTCGCTCCCAGGGGGCAGAAATTCGCTGTCGTCATGGGTACTTTGCAGTGTTTGCACCGGATTAAAAACAACACAAACAATGACGCTGTCCTTCCATTCATACAAATAACACTGCATAGAGAATTGAGGGGGGCTGATTTTCCAACATCTCTCTTTTTGGAAGCCATAAAAAGGATGGCCAGCAAGATGGGAGGGTGGGTCTGGCCTGGACTGAGCAGATACCTCGCAGGGTGCTACATGCAGTGGAGTGAAGATTCCAGTCACGATGGATCTGACCAATACGCTGAGTGTACCCGAGACAAGCCTGAAGAACTGAAGGAAGCGTCACATTGATCACGGCGGATCCAGATATTGATCGCTGTCCAGATGTAACAAAGGATGGATTCGGCATCGTGGATTTGTATCTTGAGGAGTGGAAGGTCCACACAACAAACGTGGGCTCTTACCGTGCGCCGGACTGGATGGAACTCAGCCCAATGACGTGATTTGAACCCCTGTTTTTTGTTTTGGGTTTTCTCTGCTATCGGCTTTATGTGACATTTGCATTTTTTAGCTTCGTACCGCCCACTGGATTCTCAGCCCGGTGACCTGGTTCGGAGCCCTAAGTATTTTTTTTAGATTAATAATTTTACCTAGTGACATAAGCTAATTTGTCTGTTTCGTTTGCGCAGCCCGCGAAAGCAGGGTCTGTAGGAGCAGGCTCTGAGTTCCGTAAAAAACGTTCTGCTGAGCACGGCGAGTTCTTCGCCGAAATAGCTTGAAGGATGGGATAGGTAGTAGAGAGAGTAGTATAAAACTATGGATTGGATTAAGTGCTCCGTGCAGACTGAGCAGTGAGGAGAAGATCTGTTGCACAGTGTGTGCAGCTACAATGTGGTTCTTCTGCGATATTAAACCTCAGACTACGTTATATTTCAAGTTTTCAACTCAAGGGAAGGGCCTGGGTAAGGTGGAGTGGCCAGGTGGTGAAGGGATGGAGGAATCTCTCAAGAGAGACTTCCATCTCTGCTTTTGGGACTGGTTAGCGCTGCAGCCAGAATCTTCCCTTAGATCTCCAAATTGTTTTGCAGATCCCTTTCTTCCTTCACAAAAAGTTGCTGTGGTTGATTTGCAGTGGTTTGGTAGAGAGGGGGAGTGATTTTCAATTGCTTACACTTTTTTCTGAAGGGCAAGGTAGCTTGTTGTTTCAGATTGATCAGGTGGTCCAGTAAGGACTGAAGAGGTGACACTGCCCCTATTTGTGCTTTATGTATAAAGGCTCTTTTGGATTCTAAGGGGACGCTGGACCGGCTTTCCAGCAGGTGATGCTCCCCGCCAATAGACTGAAGCCACCTTTGGGTTAGATAGGAGTGCATGCTTAGATCATCACTCCTACCTGTTGCAGAGGGTGTTTCTTCTTTAAAATAAAAAAGAAAAGTGAAAAATTGAAAAAGCATGTGTGCTCGCTGCTGCACTATTCCATGGGCATAACACATCACTGGGCCCCCAATAGGGCCCTTGTGACTCGATGCCGGTAGTATGGGAGGCCATCAAGCAGACACATGCACAGTTGAAAAAACAGATGGGTAGTGAGGGGCCCTGAGTCCTGACGCCACCTCCCACCACAAGACTTGCATTCCATGTACGTTCTTGACTTCTGGATGAATTTTTATTGTATTGACATGAACAGAGAACCCAAAACAGGTTTGGAGCTGTGGATGCTGCTTCCCCTGGGGCCTGGACCCACTAGAGAAGTATTCTACGACGTGTGACACAGTTTTAATACTGTTTTATGGTTTTTTGGAAAATACAAAGTGATTTTTTATTTGCATGAATGGATCTTTTTCTGATTTAAAATGAATTGAAATAGCACATAAAACTATGAAGAACAGCTGTGCACCCGAATTCATGGGTTGGTACGATCTCCTTCACATAAGTCTTCATAGTGATGTACCGTGGCAATAAAATGTGTCCACGAACACATTCACAAGGATGAACAAGTAACGGGTATTGGGATACATTCCTCGCGATGTATCTCATGATGCCTTTAGCAGGCCATCCGACAGACGCGGAAGCGTTCCTGTCAGATGCACCACAATATTCCAATTTCCCATTTCAAGTTCTATTTCTTAGAGCCAAAAAAAAAAAAAAACGAAGTCTGGAAATCAACCCCCCCCTTTTAAAGCCCATAAAATCCTGACTTCACGCCCACGCAAAGCCACGAGCTATTATGTCCAAGTTAGTCCAACTTCGTTTTTTTTTTTTTTTCGACGCATCTCATTGGAGGGGAGGTGGGCATCTTTACAGTCCCCGCTCCGAAACTACCAGGCCGTTGAGATCCGATCTATTCGACGGCCGTAATGAGTCACTCGATGCCACACGTGATCGAAATCCTGAACGGCGTGGTAGAATACCTTGCTAGTGGGTCCAGGCCCCTGAGTCCGTCACCTAACCTTTTTTTTTTTCTTCTTTTTTATTAATAATTAAATAACAATAATTTGGAAGGGCTGGGCCAGCAACCGGCCGGATGAACCCGGTCCAACCGGGGCTGGACCGGTCCAGGGGGGATGAACCGGCAAAACCGGATGCCCCCAAAAAATGCCCAATATATATATATATATCGTCAAATAGAACTGCCCGGTAAACCGTAGGCAGAGAGGGAGAAGATATATATATCGTCACAAACAGAACTGCCCGGTAAACCGTAGGCAGAGAGAGAGAAGAGGACAACAAACAAGGGGCTGTGACAAACTGTTTCGTCGGAGTTTCACCGACTCATATATATATTACCGGGCAGTTCTGTTTGTGACGATATATATACATATTCCGGTCAGGTCGAGCGGCAGTGGTCGGGGCCGTTACTAGGCGGCCATGCTATGCCTCTAGTGCCAGCGGCGTGTCTCGAGTGTATTTTTTGGCTGTGACAGACCTTTCTTTGTTTCGTGGATGTTTTGCTGGCTTGTGATGRGGTGTGAACCGACAGTCTGTAGAGTTTTCCATCTGGTG